ACGCGGATATCTCGCTTTCGTAGATGGCTAGACGGTGCTCCAGCTCATGTGTGCGCATGAACAGGGCTTCGGTCAGCGTCCGCTCAACGTTTTCGTCATACGAGCAGTCCTTCTCCTTCCCGGCAACCTTGCACGTCGAGCAGAAGGGCCGCTTCGCGTCACATTTCTGTCCTATATTCAGCACGACGTCGGCAATGGGGGCGGCTAGATAGGCTCACCTTCTTTTCCTCCTGCATCGCACGCCCATTCAGTCATCGGGCCACCACGTGTGAGCTGGCGGCTCACTCACCTGCACGGCACGCAGGCGGCGCCTTTCTTGAGATACTCGCCCTTGGGCCCTGCAGAGATCGCTGAAGCCGTCGAGTAGTCGCATTCGACCGGGCGACGGGCCTTGGAGCAGGGCCCGCAGATAGGGAGGACGCCATCGCACCGCTGCACCGCATTTGAGCGTGACACATCATGGGGATCGACGCAGTAAGCTTACGACTTTGCGGCCGCTAAGGGTTCCGCACCAGGATCGATCGGGGATAGTTAAAAAGTGCTAATCAGCGCCTCGACAGGAACGTGAGAGGACACGGGGATATGTACCGGCATGCTGAGCAGGTCTGGCTACCGGCCATGGTGATGGGGGTTGGAAGCAAGAGGGGATGTCGGATTACGACAGGGCTTGGACGGATATCAGAGGTCTGTATCGGTTCCGGCACTGAATGAGCAGACTAGCGCCGTCGTCGTCGGGGACTTTGAGGCAGGTGTGCTCGTCGCATGGGATGGGCTTCTCCGAGTCCGGAGTGATCGGCCTTTGCGGACAGCGAGCAATCCTGCGAGCGAGCTGGGGAGCGGGCTGCGAGGCGGACACCCGCTCGTGGCTGGGGAGGCCGGGGTGGTGGTGGTAGAGAAGAGAGTGGGTAATGGCAGGTCTGAGACGAGCCGCACTAAGGACATCAACGTCAACAACCTGCACAACCGCCGTCGATGTCCTCCCTCATAGTCAATAGCCGCCCCTCGATCACGTGGGACGAACGCGACTGCGGTGGATGTGCTTTGCTCTCTCCGTCTGCTTGCCCAAACCCGTCTTCTCCGGACACACCGAGCTCTCCTCCTGCGATACTCGTGCGCTGGCCGCCGCCCTCACCTCGATGCCCACCCTGCCCGGCGCTCCACGTGATGCGACGCGCTCTCCTCTCGACGACGCCCTTGCTCCCACCTCTTTCAATCGATCCCTGTCCTGTGCCAATCGGCCCCGCGCCTGCTCTGCTGCGCCCGCCTCGTGCGCTGCACTCGTTTTCCGCAGACCTCACACCGTCCGCCGCCCATCTCTTGCGCGCCTGCCCTCGCCCGCCTGCTATGTCTGCGTCTGCGTCCTCGATCGACTGCTCCAGTCCGCCCAACCTGCCTTCGATCGCACTCACTGGCCAGCTCCCCCCGTCTCGCAGCCATCCGCAGCACCGCTCATGCGAACCGACGTCGTGAACTCGCCGTGCAGGGTCCCCTCGCTGACCACATCGCGACAGAAAATGAATCAAAGTACCGCCGCGCGGGGATCATAACATTCGGGTATACGGACGAAGAACATGCAGCACCAGTACCAAGTGCGTTCATTCCTCCCCTGAGCCCTGACCCACCCACAGCGGCTTAGCACGACGTCGATTCCCGACGGTGCGACCCCGCAGCTCGTCCCCGCGCCCGTCAACGCTGCTCCGGCGTACGAGGTCCATCAACGCCGTGGGGACGTACAGGACATGTACCGTAGCTACGTACGACTGTATCTATGCCCAACCCGCCCTCCAGGTCAGTCACTCCTGCTCAAGTATGTCGAAACACAACGCTAACAGCCGTGGTCAGCACCGATATACGGGCAAGCAGAGCCGGAACGGACGGGCGCACCTCTAAGCTCGCTGCACGACGCTGCGCGTCGACCGAACTCGACGGCGGCCGCGCGCACAACGACGCCCTGCACACGGTAGTCAACGACGAGCGAGTAGGACGTATGGGCGCACCTGCACGACGCCGCGCGTCGACCAAGCTCGACGTCGCCCCAGCACACGACGATGCCCTATACACAACAGTCAACAGTGAGCGTGCGGACGCACGGAGAGGCCGCGGACGTGGACGTACCAGGCAGCACGATGCCGCGCACACGGGGAAGCAGAAGAGGACGAGAGAGGCGAGGGAGCAGAGGCAGGCGGGGGGTGGGGTTGGCTTCCCCTCCTCCCCAGCTGCTCGCCTTTATCCATCCTCCAGACGCCCGCGGACCGCCCTCGCCCGCCATGCACCCTCGCCCTCCTCCCTCTTCTTGCCCTCGCACCTCACTGTTCGGTTCGCGCGCGCGCGCAATCTCCGCCGTCCGCCTCGTCAGCGTGTGCGCTGCCCTCGGACGACGGCGACGTCCCGGCCCCACGCCCCCACGTCCCCGAGCTCGTCGCATCCCGCGCAGAACGTTCCGCAGCGAGTCTGCGACGGTGACGATGGCGGACCGCCCGTCTCGTCGGCGGCCCCGTGTGCGTGTGCCCCTCGCGGATGTCTCTGTCGCGTCGCCGCTGCCGACGCTCTCCACGGCCACCCCTCGTGCGTGTCCCCCTCGTGCGTGTGGGGCGGCATATCGCCCGATGCGCAAGTCGCCGCTAGTGCACCCGCGTACGTACACCCCGCCGTGTTTCCGATTTGATGCACTCATAACTGGGACCGAGCAGGAACGGCCGTGCCCGTGCACTGGCACCTCGAAGAGCCCGCTCCGTGCACCCCGCACGCTTATGCAGCGTGCGCACTGCTCGTGGAACCCCGCCGGAGCGTGCACGGCCGCGGCGCGCACGTTCGCTGCGTCGCACGGCGGGCACACTCCCCGTCAAGGCCTCGAGCTCGCGCGTCGGTGCGTTCGCGGCGGTCTCTCCAACACCACACCACACCCCTCCTGCACTCCGTCGCGTACGTCTATCGAGTCTCGGAGCTGTGTGGACGAAATATATCTTTGTTGCCGAGGACGACTTCGTGCATGTCAACATGCAGTCCACTGCGCGTAACGGTCCGCCGCCGCGTCCC